ATATAAGAATTATTCTATAATACAAAGCTTATGCTGATTTTCTGTAGTCTTAAAACTAAGATATAAGAAAATTGTCTCTTAGGCTTTGCATATGCACATTTCTGCTACTTTAAAACAATTTTAAATATTTTTGAAATAAAAAATTAGTCTTAATAGAAGTATGCCTATTTAAACATCCCTAAAATCTTAGTGGTTCTCTTAACTCCTTGCATAAGTTTATATTTGTTTGCATTGTGTGTAGCACAATTGTATCCTGACTTCTGTTAAAGTAGTAGACCTGTACTGAGATCCTACTTAACTCTGTGCTAGCTGTTCTGGTTTAATGATATCTTGTTTACAGCAGACTTTTCTAAATCTATGTCTGTGATAGGTGACCTCAGAGTTTCCAGAACCTGGCAGAACTATCTTGTGAAATTTTAACTCTAGCTTCCAGTGCCAAGTGCAGCATTATCAGATGCTTTTCATCTGTCACGTTTCTTAAGTTTTCTTTGTGAAGTCACATCTATACATCATTATTTCTAGGGGAAAGAGATGATGAGGGTTAAAGGTTATTCTCTTGTTCCTTCAACAGTTTTGTACTTTTTAGCTGTTCATGATAAAGTATCACAAAATGCTCAGAACTTCACATCTGTGTAACCTGTCATATGAGTTCTGAATGGAGAAAATAACACCATTATTTGGACATTTTTCCAAGATGCTCAGCATGAACACAGTCATTGAATGTAAAAACCTAAACATTGAAAGATATTTTTGCTGCTTCAATGACAACATTTGTAAAATGGGTAATTATGAAAATTAGTGATGAGCCAGCTATTCTGGTGGTGCAGGTTCCTCAACTTGAAGTGGGAGTGTCATAGAGGGGAGGGGGCTGTATTAAAAAATACAGGATTTTGTTGCTGTTTCACACAGGATTGTCTTAATGACTTGGACTACTGTCTTGCAATGCGTAAAATTTTGCAAAAAATATAATGTGTATATATATATATATATATATAAAAAACCCACTGGATGCTATTGTGTCTTGCATCTAGGAATGTAATGACTTGCAAATGAGCAATTTTATTGTTTTTATGAAGTGCTTACAAATTTTAGTATCTTTGAATTCTGACCTTGCTGAAGCTGTACAGATGAAAACTTTTGTGTCTTCTGTTTAAATGCTTTCAGACATGCTCATCATTCCCTAAATACTGAAGAAATCATCTAATTTCTATATGCTGAAGATCTGCAATCCAAGCAAAACAGAAACTAATGTCCCTTGATCACAGATTGTCACTGGCATGTGTTCATTGCCTGGCCACTAGTAACTGCCACCATTTGTTCTTTTTTGAAATCTGATCCCAGAAGAGGAATATTACTGCATTCACATTCCTCATTCTGTGTAAGATGCTAACTTCAGGTACCCTACTCCTTGTAACTTTAAGTTGTGAAATGGATGTAAAATATTTTTAACGATCTTGCAAAGGAAATTGAACGCCTTGTTGGCTTAGCTCAAGTAGTACTTTCCCTTTTGTTTCTAGGAACTTAATTCTTCCTTTGAGCTCTAATTTGGTATTTTTTTTTCCTTAAATACTTGCTTGCTTCTACTTCTCTGCAAGTACTTAATATGCACTTATTAAGAGAATTTGACAAACACAAGATTTGGAAAAAATGTGTTGCAGTTTGTCTCCTATAATCCCTGGCAGCTATGCAGTGATGCCAGGTAACAATTTCTTTTAGTCTCTAATGGTTTTATTATCCTCAGTAGGGACTACTCATAATTAAGATGAGCAGGTTTGGCCAGACTAAAGTTAAAACTAAGAGAAGAATGGGGAGGATAAGATTGCCTGACCATTTAAGAATGTCTAGCACTGTATCTTCTGTTAGTATGTCAGCAGCCAACATTGTTATCTGTTACCTTTTGATAGGTAAGCCTGAACAAATGCAAACATGAACACAGCTCTGCGGATCATCTCGGGTTCCCTTTGGAAACCCCAAATAAGTGGCCACAAGGGATTGTGTGTTTTCCTGAGAACACCTCGGCATTGGAGTTCTTCTTTCTGTGTGCTGGATAGTGGTTCTGCTACTCTCAAAATCATACCTGTGCCCGCTGGTGCAAAATGCCATATGGTCACTTCAGTGGAACTCAAAATTTACCTGTGCTGCTGTTGTGTGTTGCTAGGTAATTTTTAAAGTAGACCTAAAATAAAGGGGAAACTTAGTGGGGTTTTATTACTCTTACTTACAATAGCCACCAAAAAGCCCATTAATTAAAAAAATTAAAACAAAAAAAAACCTGAACTAAACCACAAAACCTGTTCTGTCAGTCAATCCAGTGAAGCTGCCATGCATCCGTGTGCAAGGTACATGTGCAGTGTCCTTCGGTGTTGGAGTGTCACAGATATTCCTCCTCCGAATTGGCACCAGCAGCCTGGAGCTTGTCCCACACAGCCGGTCTGTGCTGCGGATATCCCGCTAAGCATGCATTACTTGAGATAGCCACACTTAGGAGTTGGTTTTCAATTTTCCTTTGTAACAGCACAATATATGCACAATATCATTCTATTTGTGTGTGATGCCTCTCTCCTCTCGAGAACAGGCATGTTTATCATGCTGTAAGCCTTTTAGACTAGGTCAGATTCATTTTGCTTACCATACCCACCATACCCACTTTGAGCTTTAATTTAAAGAAGAACTTTATCATATGGATGAAAATTCAGTCTCTTTGAAAACAACTTTTGCTTGTGTTCCAGCTCACTCTTAGAAATCACATTTTTCATCACTGGCTGTTTGGATGCATTCAGCTCTAGCAAAGTAAATACTACTAATCATAAACAGTAGAGTTTATATAGGGTAGAGAGGTTGGAATGATCTTAGAAGAGGGAGAATTGTGAATAAATTGTGGAGAGGCACATTCCTAGTAGAAACTATAGGCATTTTAACACTCCCAGCAGTCTTACTGGGTGGTTTTAGAGCCTGTAATCAAAAATGGACGATAATAATTTGGCTACAGCTTTGTCACTAATATCTACTGGTTGCCAAGAATATGGCACACTGCTTTCTCTTCAGTAAATCTGGGTGGCCAAGAAAGAGAAAGTAATATTTACTGTCAGTTACAGAAACTGGAGAGACTGTGTTAGGCCTTGATGCTTTAGCTTTCTTGATTGGGGGGGTGAAGGAGAAAGTAATTATTGGGTTTTTTTAATAATAAAATACAGACTGAAAACTATGCAGTTTGTAATTTTAGCCTTCCTGTTAGATGGGTACATACCTATCAATAGCTACATTAATTGCACCATGTTGAGGTGATATCTCAGGACACTAACACTTCTCCAGATGACAGTTTCAGCCAACTCCCTATGACTGGCAGTTCATCACTACAGCTATTACTGCATTTGACTTGCTAAATGATTGTAGAATCAACACAGTTAGAAAGGGTTAGTGGGCTGTGCTCTTTCATTTGTGCTTTAGGAAGAAAGTTTCTATCTTGCTGAATGTCTGGTGCAGAATAGATAACTGAACTTTGTAAATCTGATAGATAGCAAGTTTCACCATGGTGTGGGAAGGGAGATAAAAAGGAACCAAATGGGAGAATTGATTTAATAGGGCTCAGACATTAATCATGCCAACTTTAAAATGGTATTTATTCTGAGCTGCACATCTCAGCCTGTTTTCAGCTGTATCTGATAAGGTACATGTTAACTTTATTGTAAACGTTTGTGGTTGTGTGTTGTAATTTGCACATATGTCACTTCTTGAATTGCTTTTTGGGACTGCTCCTAAAGTGAAGCTAGCCTGAAAGGTGTAACCTATGTGTGGCTTTCCAAAGGAATTCTTTCTGTAATAAATGCTTTGCAGGGTGTGCTAAGTTTTATGGTCATCAAAACAGGACCTCAAGATGTTGGAAAATCATTTTAACAAGTCTTTACTTGAGAGTATGGGGAGTTCTTCACCCCTTTGTACTGCTGTGATGAGGACCTTTCCAGGCAGTCTTCTCTGTAGACATTTCCGTAGGGCTCTCAGGCTCTGCAAACACGTTTCTGTGCCTGAGTAAGGGATTATGATAAGCCTGTCAAACATTGCACTGCTCACATCTTACTTTAAGTCTGAGACACTTATGGAGAAGAGGTGATTTTAATTCTGGGAGGACGAAATGTGTCTACAGGTGAGAGCTGTTTCGAAGCCTGAATGGCTGGGGCATGGAGCTGTTGAATTTTAAACATTTTGGATAGTTGATTTGCATGTGTACTCTGAGAAGACACTGTGCAAGGTGGATACCACTTACTGCAAATACAAGCCAATCGGTTGCAGAAGTTGTAAAAATTACGGAAGTCCTAAACTTTTGCATCAATTTCTAATGTTTGCAGTATTAAACTGTATTTTAAGAATGATACTTGTATGCAGTTCTGTTGTGAGATGTTTTTTTACTCCAGCTCAGTTCAGGTATATTATTTTGATAGATAACTTTGCCCCCAGTTAATAATGTCTGTACAACAACACGCTGCAGAAAGAGGAGGAGACTGCAGTGAGAGCTGTTAGTTCTCAAGTGTCACTAATGACTCAGTGTTGTGTGCAGGGATCCTGATCATTTTAGTGGCACTAATATTAGAAGGATGAAATGCCACTTTCGCCATGTGCCTTGGCAGGCCTAGAATCTCTAGAATGTCTAGTGTCACATGAAATACATATGTTTTAGAAAACCTCCAAAGGGAAATGACTTGGGGCTCTTTGGATAAGAACTGCAGTTAATCTACTCCAAGCAGAAATATAAAAATCTAGGAACTTGTTAATGTTCTTGGAACAGCTGTTGTTTAACTGCTGAGGTAGTAAAAATTTAAATAAAATCTGTGGAGAAACAACTAAGTGGTAAGAATGGGTAGAGAATAAATTGATTTTTTTCTGGTAATGGGAAGTTTTATTATGGTTTATTACTCCATATATTATGGGTTTCTGAAAAGAGAAGCTACTGCATTTTCCCTTTTGCTTGAAATGTCAGTTATTTACTGTCTCTCTATTTTTTTTAGGTTACTATTAAAATCTTAAAAATGCAGATGAAGACTGGCTTGTGCAGAATCCTTCTGGTATCTTATGCAGACAAAAGAGAATCCTAAACCAGGTTTTAGTACAAGGTACGTATTAAGGTATATGGCTTTATCCAGCAGTTACTGAAGTCCCCCACTTTTTGTTCAGATTTGTGATTTGATGTAGTTGTTCTTCTACACTTCAAGTAATACTTGATTTCAGATAATGTAATTCCTGGCCTAATTCCTGCCATGTGTTATGTTTTTAAAGGACTTCAAGCATATGCACACAGCCTCTAGCAGTCAGCTCAAGCTCTGGACAGCCATCCAAACCCCACAGTGCCACATTAATATGATGCCATGTCTGAGCTGCTGGATGTTACCGATACATTGCACTCAGACTCCTGATTGTTTGTACAACCAACACAGTAGTTACTGATTCTGAACAGTCTTTGGCATTAATCAGAGGGCTCTGGTCTGGAAGGTGGTGTCCATGCACTCTGGGAAGCCTGGGGCATAGTTTGATTTGTGTGCACACAGGTGTGTTGTGCCTGCCCGACTGTGGACAGCATTTCAATGGTGCTGACAGATAGCAAGGTTTTAAAGGGAGTTGTATGCAGCTAAGTTCAATAGTTCTGGTAACTCCAAAATACCAGTTATTTTTATAAAGCAAAAGTAAATTTAAACACTAGTGGGATTTGACAAAAATTCTGCAAGTTCTAGTGGTAAAGCAAGAGAAACTTGTGTTAATTCTTCTGTGTTTGTTTGGCTTGGCAAAAGGACTCAGAGCTGTCTCTGTAGTTGTGTTAACAGTAAATAAGAGAACTGGGAATATAAAGGACCAGAACAATTTATCTGTTTTATAATCACATGTAATAGGTGTCCTTGTCCATGGCAGGGGTTCAGACCAGCTGATCATCTCTCTCCATGTGCTGGCAACTTTCTTTGTAAAGCAGGATGCCATTTGGATGCCTTTGTGGCCAGGTTGCACTCTTTGCTCAGGGTAGTTTTTGGACCTGGTGTTCACCAGGGCCACCATGTCCTTACCTGCCAAGGGGCACTCCAGCCAGCTGGCCTCTAGCCTGTCCTGGTGTCTGGGATTATTTCTCCCCAGAAGCAGGATTTGGCATTTCCTTCTGTTGAATTTCATGAGATCCTGTAAGGCCATTTCTCCAGCCTCTCGAGGGATCACTGGATGGTGGCATGACTCTATGGCCTTAGCAGCCGCTCCTCTCAGCTTTGTGTCACCTGCAGACTTCTGAGGACATGTTGTCCCATCAACCAGGGCAGAAATGAACATCCTGAAAAGGACTGGCCTCAGTGCAGGGATACTCTGCTATTCACTCATGTCCAAGAGGACTTCATGTCACCAACAGCCTTCTAAGCCCATCTCTTCAGCCAGTTTTTAGTCCACCTCATGGTCCACTGAGCCTATCAGTAGTCTGTCAGTATCATGACAGGATCAAAATGATAATTGGAGATACTATGGCAGTGTCAAAAGATTTCCTAAGCCAAGGCAGGTAATATCCACTGCTCTCCCCATGTCCACTGAACTGGTCACGTCACCAGAGAGGCTCTCCAGTTGGGATCCTTAAGAATTTGCAAATGACCTTGTTGTAAATCCATGCTGACTGCTGCCACTTACCTTCTTGGTCTGGAAACGTTTTTTTGGAGTAGTTGTTCCATCACCTTCCGAGGGCCTGTAGTTCCCTGGGTTCTCTTTCCTGCCATTCTTGAAGACTGGAGTGACTTTTGCTTTCCCCTGATGTGCTTGCACACCTCTCCCAGTTGCCACACTCTGTCAGCAATGCAGGGTGGCCTTGCAAGGCCAGCAGCCAGCTCCTTCAGCACTCATGGGAGCATCCTAGCAAGCTCAGCATGTGTGACTTGTCCAGTTTGTTCTCTAAACTGGACCCTGTGATGTTCTTGGTTCTGGGAAGGGCACTGATGAGGTGGGAAAGTTGTTGCACACCTTTTTGTGGTTCTGCTTTTGCCCTTTACTAAGGAGTCCTGTTATTTTCTAGTTCACAGTATAAGAATTATCACACAACAATTGGCAATATAAACCAGACTACTGAAATAAGCAACCTACAAGCATTTACTCACAAAATCTAAAAAAGACAAGCAGCTAAAGCTCTTTGTCAGAAAAGTAAAGTAAAACAGAAAAAGGCTGCCTAATTTTTTCAGTTGATTCAAATGTTTTTGGGGTTTTTTTAATCCAGAGGACATTTTGTCTTGACCATGTAGCCATTGGAATTCAGTCTTGTTTGTCATTACATATGAGAGTGCTGCTGTGCACAAGAGCCATTTGGGAACCTCAGTGTTTGGCAGGTTTCCCAGGCATCTCAGAATTTTTCTGTCAGCTTACAGTTTCCTTCCTGTGAAGGAAAAAAAGGATGGTCAAGGTTCCTTGGAGATACAAGTGTTCCTTTTACTGGCTAAATAACAACTCCTTGTCTCAATGAAGTGATAAGAACCTTTCTTCCTCTTCCCCCATTCCTCACATGTATGGTGGCTTCAGATTGCAGTGTGAACCTGGCTGACCAAGTATAATGGCCCAATGAATTTGTGCTAAGTATTGTGCCAGGCCGCCTGCTCCTGGGCTTCCTGAACAGAGGGAGCTGCAGCTGCCTTCGCGGGGGCAGGGCTGTCTGAAAAATTGCTGGCATTGCTCAGCTCTTTATCCAGCTGTATTTGCTGTAGGGGGATAGAATATAAGAAAATAAAGATAGCGTAGAAAGTAATCTTACCCCTAAGGAGTTGCAGCTGGGCCAATTAGCAAAGATTAGGAACAGGCCTGACTTTAACAGGCCACAGCTGTAACCAATGAGAAGATGCTATAAAAGAATGGGGTGGCTGGTTGAGAAGGGAACTGGAGTCAGTTGGCTTCTTTGTGAAGAAGAAAGTGTCAGTGCTCTGAGGAGCTGCCCATGAGAAACACCGAGGAGGTATGAAATTTTTGTGATAAGGAGACAATAGTATGGAACCCCTGTAATAAGATGACAACATTTGCTGATGTGTTGCTCTGTTATTTGCCATTTGAGTCTTAAGTGCTCTACTTTGATGACAAAAGCACACTGTCAAGGAAGTTATCGCTGAAGTGTCTCTTGTAACTCCTCAGCCTGAATCGTACTTACTTCCTGGAAATGTTCATCTCCATTGAATGCATTAGGTTTCAATGGAAGCTGCTGGTGGCTGCCCACCCCCAGAACTGAGGCTGTTACATTGTGATGATGTGCAAAATGCTGCTCTGCACCTTGGAGTTACAAGGACCATCAGGGTGAGATTATAATCGTGTTGTCACTTGTTAAAACTCCTATAATGGTACACTTTGTACTCAGTTTTTAGTTTGTTAGTACTATTTATGTGCTTAATGTATGAATGTTTTTTTTTTCTTGTATCTCTCAGTGCTCTTGGGCAAACAAATAATGCTGTTATCTAATAAAATAGTAACTAAATCTGTCACACCTGGCTGAAGGTAGGAGAAGGACAAACTGATCATACTCAGTTAAGCCGTTTTCTCTCTGCTTGCAGAAGGGCCAGACCTATGAGACCTGAAGGAAAAGGGCTGTTTGAAATGACAAAAAAGAACACAAACAGCCTGGAGGTGGTGTCCCCCACCAATACCTCAGCTTGGAAAAGACATGAGAAGAATGTGAATACATCTGCTCGTGAGCTCCAAGTCCTCTTCCTACATGAGGAGACAAGTTACAGCTTTTGTGATGTTACTGTCTTCAGCCTCTGGCACAGAAGGTGGTGCCAGTCCAGCATTTCATAGCAGAGCTGATGTTGGCCTGCTTTGATGTGTAACTGAGGTACTGATGCCCTTTTCATCTAGACTGCACTCCAGGCAGATTTTCTTTTTAGAAACAGCAGTGTTAAGGGAAATGGGTGTAACTAAAAGGATTAAAGTTTCTATGTTCTACAAGAATAATAAGAGTAAATGATATATTAAATGACTGCTCCTTGGTTTAACTGATTGCTGTTGGCCTTTAAAAAAGCCTTTTAAAATGTAAGAAAATATTTTTGAGCCCTACAATACATATCAAAAAATAGGAAAGTGGTAGGGTTTAAAGAAAAAGCAGTAATGTGGATTGTGTTTATGTTGCAGTAGTTTAGAAGAATATGAAAGTATTAATTATCTGGAGAAAAATGGTATGAGGCAGTGACAGCTGAAAAGAACTGGAAGGAAATGCTAATCATAGGGGAGATTACAGCTGCAGTAAGTTGTCTGTGCTGTTGAGTAAGGAGTTATGCTGCAAATGCCAGCTGTCTTAATGTAGCTGAATAAAAAGATGAAAAAAACATGAAGAATGAAAAATTAATTTTACGTCATGTGATTTGAACACTGGCCTGTAACATACGAGGAAGGGTTTTTTCAAATTTCTATAGCTATTGTAAAACTGTTTAAAATTAAATTAGTAACAGGATGTTTATTTTTTATTTCCTGAAATCAGCAATGCAGTGGACATGAATTGAAGACTTGACTGGAACCTCACACAGTTAAATCCTGCAGTGGGAACTGAACTAAGCTGATGGTGAAGCAGCTGGTGGTGAAGCAGCTTTGCAGAGGCTGATACGGGGTCCTGAGGGACAAGTGAAGATGAAGGTGTCCACTCCCATGCTGGGCTCCATTAGAAGATCATGGCTGAGCAGGGGCCAGAAGAGCAATCTCTCAGTTCAGCACTTCTGAGACTGCAGCTGAAACACTGTGTCCAGTTCTGGGCTCTTGAAGACAAGAAGATGTAGTAACAAACCCCATGGAAGCCATTGGGCAATCAGAAGGCTGTGGAGCACAGGAGCCACAGGGCCAGGCAGCAGGGGTTCTTCCAGCTGGAGAACAGGAGGTAGGGGTGGTTAAGAGATCCTGTTAACCTGGCTGTGTAAGAGAAGTGCATAGAGAAGATGGAGCCAGGCTCATGGCAGTGGTACACAGTATGGTGGCAGTTTTGTTCCATTGTTTCAGTGCATGGAAGTGGCACACCATACCACTAATAAAAACAGTACAAGGTAGTACTGTGTGGCTGTACTTACCTGGAGTCCCTGCACTGTGGAACCATTGGGGGCTTCCTGGTAATCATTTGGTTTCAGGAAGGGTGGATGCAGGGGACTTGGTCTGGAGGTTCTCTTGTGGTTTTAGGGATCTTAACCCTGCTATTCACTGAAAGAACTACTCTGATATTGACACAGCAGAGCTGACAGTTCTATAAAGGTGAGGGAACACCCAAAGCTTTTATATCTCCTGTGCAAGCATACAGGTTGTCCCGTGCAACCTTGTAAAGCCTTTTTGAGAAAAACTGCCAGCACAACCTTTACAGGTGGGAGGGGCTGGGACCAGCACCTTCCCCTCTTCCCCACTGGAGGGCTGTATTCAGTGTAGGACATGCAGCTGCTCTAAGACACCAAACAGGGCTTTCTTCCCAAATTCATCAAACTGTTCTTGGCTAGGGAAAGTCCATACAAGTAACAGTTACAGGGTGCAAGACTTCTCATCAGAAGTGGGAGTCTGCGCTACAGATTGAGATGTCACCACATGGGTAACCCTGTCCCCACAAGCTCTGGTGGCCCATGCCCACACAGTTGCAGTGACTCCAGTTTTGGAACAGGCCCTCATCTCCCTGGGTGTGTGACAATGTCTTCAGTTCCCATACGCATGGCTTGGGTTTCTCAGCAGCAGAGCTGTGCCTTCCCTTAAGAGCAAGAGGCACAGCAGCAGAGGGAGACAATGGGAAGGTCTGACCCCTCTACTGTAACTGCACCAGTGCGACCAGTAACTCTTCAGAGGAGTTCCTTACACTTCAGATCATGCAGGAAGTATTACAGACATTCTGGAAAAGGATTAATTTGTAGTTACCACGCAGGACTGGTTTGCTGTGGAAAAACAGGAGACCTGAAGTCAGAAAGAACCATCTTCTGCCTGGTTCCTTCCTGCTGACTGCTATACTTGAGGTATCTGAGCTTTGAGAAACCCTTTTTAAAGCTTAATTTTTCCTGCTGCCTCAGTTCTGCTCAAATTTCTAGTGTGTGGTGTCTTTTTCGGGTATTTTTTTCCAAACTTGTCTTTGTCCCTCACTCAAACATTTTAGCCATGTTGAGAAGGTGAAAAGTACACATCTTAAATTCACACTGATCAAATCCTTTTTGTTTTTGCAAATGGGTGCAGAAAGCACAGAAAGCCTGTGACATGGTCAACTGCACCACCCACCAACCTTCAGCACCAGTGAAAGAAGCCAGAACAGCAGTACTGGTGCTGGTACAGTGAAGGTAAAAACCCTGAGCCTTCAGAACCATCTGCTACCACTGCAGTTCATGGGAACTGCAGCTGCAGCCCTTGCTGGTGGCAGCAAGAAGAAACTGAGCAAGTACTTCACAGGTATTTCTCCACAGTGCCTAAGTAATTGTTTTTTATTGTAGCTACTTTCTCTTCATCCTTTGTCCACCAAAACCTTTTTCAGCAATCAGACAAAACCCATACAATAAAAACCGACAAAACCCAGCTTCAAACAGCTTTTCATACACTTCTTATGCATCTTCAATAGGGATTCTGAATTTATACTGCCAACTAAAAGAGAAAGATGGCTGCAAAATATTCATCCCTAATAAAAGCATCATGAAACCCAGATTTCATTCCCATGTTCTGTAGAACTCCTCCCTCTCTCCCAAGTGCCTCAAGATAAAAAACAAAACAACTCCCCAAATCAACAGCCTCTGACAAACTACTTGCTGTATCAACTCTTGGAGCATTACTAGACATTTTTAGGTTAGACTGTACAACAGTTTCTAAATAGCATCTCTATCATTTGGACATTTGTTCAGAACACCTTTTATCCCCACCTGGAGCAGCTCCAGCATTTCCCACTGGCAGGTACTGTACAGAGCTTGTGCCACACACACTGTGCTGCCACACGTCCTGCAGGAGTGACTGCAAGAGGCAGCCATGCAGATGAAACCTGGCACTCCAGCATAAGGAAACACAAGTGTCCTCTTTCCTTATGCATCATCCAGGCTTATGCACAGGGACTAAAATTTCAGCTACACAAAGTCCCAAGTGTTGGCAGTGACATACCTGATTCTCAGCCAGTGCTTTTCATGCATCTCAGGTGTTCATACTTAGAAAAGTGAGGTATCTAACATATTTCAGAGAGGTGGAGGTATAAAGTCTGTTCAAAACCCAAATTTGTTAAGATTTCATCAATACTGTGCAAAAACATAAGCAACTATTCTAAATCAAAACAGAAACGAGTATTTCTATGTCATGCTGCTGTTCTAGTTTTATATAGCTTAATGTGACATTACACAAAAATTGTGTCCTTCGTTACTCATTTGGCATCTCTTAAATATGAAAGATTTAAAATTTTAAGAACCAAAAATTAAAAACCAGTTAACTGAAATTTATATTAAAAAAATCACAGTTCTTAAAAGGATACTTCATATAGCTGCACCATTTTGATGGTGAGCAGTCAAAATAATCAAGAATTGATGCAGAAGTTTTGCTAATAATATAGGCACATAGTGGCATGTAAACTACACATGACAACTAGAACAGCAAAGGCACGATCTGGTTTGCTTTTTCCTACCTTTCAAGATGTTGGTTAATTTACAGAGAAAGATATTCTATACTCCATGCAGAAGTATTACATTTATATTTTACAGCACAGGACCATTACAAAACTGCTGTCATCTGATAAAACGGGTCATTTAAATAAAATAATAATATAATAATAATAAGATAAAAAGATATAGCAGCTTTTTGCACTGAGGAACTGAATTTCTGAAGTAAAGGACAACACATGTTCTGTCATCTGTCAGGCTGAGAACATCTGAAATTCTCTATGTATCTTCTTGTCTACAAAAAGCACTGCCTGGACACTGAAGGTAGCTACAAGTTTTCTGGTTTGCTCTTTTCAGCTTGTATATGTTTTTAGATGTCACCTAAGACCTCAAAAGTTAAGATATCTGTAAAACTACCAGATGCTTCTCTAATAGCAAAGGCAGGTTAAAGCAGAGATTTAACTGGGAACCTGACTGAGACCCTTCTGCGAATGGAGCCTGTTCAGATGTCTTTGTTCATGCCTGCAGACTGAACTCTGTTAGTTCAAAGGGAATCACTCTAAGCATAACAGGTGTTTCATTGAGAGACAGGAACAGGAGCAGTTTTAAAACAGAACACAGCCCTCAGCAACTTAAAAGTTAAACCTAATGCAGTCATTTTAAAGTGTAATTTCTTCCCATGGCTCCAATAATATGACAGTTCTGCATTTCACATAGAAATGTTAGAGTAAGTAGAAAACTTTAGTTTACAAATGAAGATCTTTAAAAAAGACATTTCATGTAATTACCTTAAATAGTTCTTATATGCACCGTTCCACATTGTGGAAAAGCTGAAATATGCAGTCTGGACTCCACAAGTTAAAGAAAAACAAAGTTATATGTATTGGCACAAATACTTACATCTACATCTGTACAAAGTAAAAAAAGCTGACAACCCTGTCCCACCAGTGCAGCGTATTCAACTGCTCTCCAACACACACTTCCTGCGACTGCCAACGAGCGGCAAGCTGGGAACTGAGTCTTCAGAGTGTGGTGCCAAAAAGTTCCAAACTGCTTTGTCAGTCTCTGAACAGAGGAATCAGAAGTATATCCAAAAAAGTGTCAGTCCACTCATGGCATGCTCAGAGGTCACTGCAGCTGCACTCTGTAAGCTCCTATGAGCAGCTTCACCTGTAAAAGAAAACAAAGGTTTCCATATCAATGCTGGCGACAGGTGATTACTCTGTTAAACGCTCCTATGTGGCACAAGGAAAGGCACACAATTGCTACTGACTAAGAAAGGAAAAAAGAGGAATTATGAAGTCCTTAATAAAATCAGTTTATAGTAGCCCTACTTAGATATGGATGGTTTGTTAGAGGACACCAGTAGAATACTGCAGTGGTTTTGTTTGAACAAGTTAGCCCCAAGTCTGAACCAGACAAACATATACTTCCATCTGCATACACCTTTTTCCACAAAAAAAAAAAAAAAAAAAAAAGAAAAAAAAAAAAAAAGAAGAAAAGAAAGTACAATAAAACATTTAAGACTATAACTTCAACTATCCCTCAACTATCCAATCCTTCAACAGGATCTGGAAAATATACTGCTACATCTTTCTAGGATAAAATAAATGCTACCAGAACAGAATTCATCTTGCAACATGTAGTGGGGAATATTGCCCAAACCACCTGTAAAATGCAACAGACTATTTAAAAGCAGAGTGCATACCCCAGTAAGTATTTCCAACACACAAGCAAAAACATCTGTATGCAAAAAAAAAAAAAGGTGGCCACTCCATGTATCTTTCAGTCATCAAATTCAAAATATAGATGGAGAAGATGTTCAGCTGGAACACCAGTTTATCCTAGTGTATGAATTATTCTCACCACAACATAAAAATGTTTAATTATAACAGAACTAACACGTGGAAATGTTCCCAAGTTCTGGCTATGTCACAGGATGTAACTGTAACTGATGGAAACTGGGATCACGAGACAGAGGAAAATCTTTGAGTTTTACATTTGCAATATACAGGTAGAAGCATTCAGACAATGGAAGAGTACAACAAATGAGCATACACATTTAATTTTGAGAACATTTTGTACCTTGGCAGTAGGAGCTTCTGCCAACCGTATGAAAAGCTTGTTAAGGCCTGCAGTAGGGCTGAAGGAATAAATAAAGTGACTATCCTACAAGGAAAAAGAAAATGGACAAAGTTAATGGTAGGTTATGGCTGAAAGAGCTGTGTAAGAGGACTAACAATTCAACATTTTCACCATGCTTTTTTGGAAAGAACATTGTACATGAACCTTTGATGCAATGACTGAGAAAACAAGACTTCAAAATTGTGCAATGTGATGCATTTAATAGATTAAAAAAAACCAAATTAGAAAATAATTATTAGAACTTTGAGGTAGGTTGTTAAAAAAATATTTAAGAACTTACTTGGGTCAAAAATATGAGAGGCTTGGTCAATTAGAGA